CTCCGGGAGCTCGTTCCACCAGATAGGAGCCGCCACCGAGAAAGCCCTGGCCCTGGTAGCAGCCAGCCTGGCCTCTTTGGGACCTGGCATTGCCAGGAGATGTTGGGTCCCGGACCGAAGTGCTCGCGGGGGAACATATGAGGAAAGGCGGTCCCTTAGGTAAGCAACAGTATCTTCTGCAAAGCAGTTCTTCTTATTACAAATCTAAAATGCAGGAACAAAATACCTTTAAACAAAGTAAATAATTAATGTAATTTAATTTTAGATATTTATATGCCTGCCTTTTTTGCTAAATATAGCGCCTCAACATGGGAGTAACAATATAAAACCTCAATTAACACTAAATAATAAACATAGAATAAAAAATGCAGGAACAAAATACCTTTAAACAAAGTAAATAATTAATGTAATTTAATTTTAGATATTTATATGCCTGCCTTTCTTGCTAAATATAGGGCCTCAACATGGGAGTAACAACATAAAACCTCAATTAACGCTATATAATAAACATACAATAATAATGCCTGCATTTTCTGTCATATCACAGACAAATCAAGCATAGCCATTGGCCGTTTTGCTGGTCAAGGGAATCTTCCTCACATCCTTGGGAATGCTATTTCATAAAATGGGGTCTGCAACCATAAAATAATGTAAATGAGAAGTAGGAAGGCAGGAGTGGTGGTGGCGTTGGGGCTGGGAGTGGGTGTTTTTCAACCAAATGGCACCAAAATTGCACTGGAGTGAGTGCTGCCCCTCTACTAAAAAGCCAAGTCTAAAATGAAATAAACTAAAGGAACAAGTTCAGTGGGCCCCTGAAGAAGCTGCCTCAGCTTTATATTCACCCAGCCATAAAAGACCAAAGGGCTCCGCCCCACGACCCAAGGGAGGGACAGAAAAAGAGCAGTGGTTCTCTATGGCTCATCTCCAAAGGTGGTTGGCTGGAAGCACTTTGTCCTCCTCCTTTGCAAAGATTCAGTTGGAAGGGAAGAAATCAGGAGAATCAAGGAAAGACACAAACACATGCTGTAGGTTAGCAGCACGCCAAACTTGAAAACAACATGCGTTTCTTCAGGGAGGGCAATTTCGTTTCACTGAGAATCCTGGCTTCCTAATAACATTCCATAAAATCACAGTAATAACCGGAAACATCAGTTTCCATGTGTATCTTCCTCTGGGACATTTTGTTAGGTTTACCCCAGCATAGATCAGCATGGCCAGATCAACTGAGTGTAGAAAAAGGGACATTCTCTGAACCAAGTGCAAATAAAAAAATGTACATTTTGGCTGTCGTAAACTTGTTTTTCCAGGAGGTGGGCAGGATCCAAATGAAGCCCCACTCAATTCATGATTGAGTCCACCAAGGAAAGACCCATCCTATTCTCATCTAATGTCAATATTGTGTTAATTTTTGGACACATATAAGGGTGCCCTTTCACAACAAATCTTTCTATATGTTGTTTTTCATTTCCTAATGTCAAAATTTCTTTGTGTGGATAATTGTACTATTTGCTATGCTTTGAGCTATTCTTTATTTCTAAGCGTTCTTGGATTTTTTCATTATTGAGCCACAGCTTTTGCAGCTGTTTACAAATTAGTTACTAGGTAGCAGTGTGTTTTTGATGCAGATGCCCAAGTAATACCATTTTTAGAAGAAGTAGTTTTAAATTAAGTTGAAACTTCATATAAAAGGCTCATTGTTGACCGATGCTCCCTCTAAGCTGTGGAGTCTTGTGAGCAGAAATTCTACTTTGTGAGCTACTGGCATTAAAGTTGTGAGCGAGCAATTTGGCTACTGCATAAATTAATTTGCTCTGGAGCCATCCTTTCTGAGCTAAGACAAGAATGTGTGAGCCAGAGGCTAAAAAACTGTGAGCTGGCTCATGCTAACTCAGCTTAGAGGGAACACTGTTGTTGACTTAATGATGATTACATTTGGTTATATTTGTTTCTCATCACATTAGCCCTACTGAGAGCTACTATTGAAACTGCATGTTGAATTTGGAGTGATCTTATAAAACTTGATTCCGATAACATGCTTTATCCTCTGTTAGCCACCAGCAGCGCCAACTAGTAGAAATTATGCTGAAATGAGAGAAAAACTCCGTCTGCGTTTAACGAAGAGGAAAGAGGAACAGCCTAAGAAATCAGAACTAATGTCGGATAGAGAGAGTGTTGTTGATCATCGGAAAGTAGAAGACTTGCTGCAGTTTATAAATAGCCCTGAGACAAAACCAGTAAAGAGCACGCGGGCAGCCAAAAGAGCCAGGCATAAGCAGAAAAAGGTAAGACCAGACATTTTTGAGAGGAAGTCATGCCACAAAAGGAGTGAAAGAAGACAGTGGGGGTATTCAAAGTATCCTAGCCTTGAGATCATGATGTGCTATTTTATTAGACCTCTTTTTCTCATTAACAGAAATGAAAGGTTTGACAACTAGGCATAAGGTTAATGAATGCATGATAGAGGGACAAACTGCTGGTTATTCAAATGCTGTCAGCTAGCTGCCATGCTTTCTTTGTTTACGTTCATCCCTGACTTTTGCACAGCCGCACATGCTTGCTTTGCTTGGCTACCGTGGGTAACATAAGGGAGGCACTCCACCCCACCCCCCCAGAACTAGCTCAGCCAGACGGTATAACCTTGAAGGGAAGGGAGGGCTTGAATTCCACTACGGGTGTGAAATTTTCTGCTCTCATGGGATTGATGTGAGTCTCCCGTTCATGATGTAATATCCCGCCGGGAGGATTCCCGCACGCACACGTTTGGATTTCATTTGCTTAGCTAGATGCAGCATCATAGTGTATGTATGGAGCCCCTTGCAGCCATCGTTATTCCTGACAATATACCGGTACCTGTACCACTTGGCAACAGACTAGTATTCCAATAAAACATAGCCTTTTCAGGAGAGTGTGTTTGGACCTGCTTGCTGTTGATCTTGACAAATGCACGTAGTAAAGCCATATTTAAAAAAAGAAGAAGAAGAGAAGAGATTGGATTTATACTCGGAGTCTCAGAGCAGCTTACAAACTCCTTTCCCTTCCGTTCCCCACAACAGACACCCTGTGAGGTAGGTGGGGCTGAGAGAGCTCTGACAGAAACTGCTCTTTTCAAGAACAGCTCTGGCAGAACTATGGCTTGCCCAAGGTCATCCAGCCAGGTGTAAGTGGAGGAGTGGGGAATAAGACCCGGTTCTCCCAGATTAGAGTTCGCACACTTAACCAGTACACGAAACTGCACTTGCAGTTTTTAGTGGAAAAGCAAATGGGTGTGTGTGTGATACTTAACCCATTCCTCGGCCCCTTTTCTGTTCATATTTTCACGTATGCATTTACAAGAAGAGAACAGGCAGAAGGTTGTATAAAGCTTGTTTATTTTAAATTGTTAGTTTATGTTGTTATTAAATTGTTAGTAAATTAGTTAATGAATAGACTGTATCAGAGGTCATTTCGGGGGGGATCGCAGTTCCCCCGGGTGAGGCACTGGGGGGGCGGGGCACACGACGAAGCCCTGCCCCCTGCTTCCGGCCACCCCGCTTCCGGCCCTCATTCAGCCAGGAGGAGGCAGGAGAAGAGGGAGGGTAAGTTGCTTCCTCCCTGCCTCTCCCCACCCCTGCCTGCCTGGGGCTTCCTTGCACTCCCGCTGGCCTATGCTAATGAGTTATGCTAATGAGTCCCCCTAGCTCTTTTCCTACGAAACGACCCCTGGACTGTATTTGCTTGAAAGGAAGATGATCCTGAAAATAAGACAATTCTAAAGAATGAGAAGGCCTGTACAGAAAAACTGATGATTTTGAATTTCAAATGCCCCCTCCCTGCCCCCCCCCCAGAACAGGCATGCCAGTCTGCCAGAGGTGTCCTCCTCCAATGATCTATGCTGAAGATACCATCTCTGTGTGGCCCGGATTAAACGAATTCTAGAGTCCAGCGGCACCAGTATCGATGCAATTTGTTTCTGAATGCTTGTTTTAATGTTTTAACCAATCATTTATTATTGTGTCGTGTGGCCAAATGGCCCAGCTGTTGTCGTGATCTGCCCCGAGCCTGTTCGCGGGGAGGGCGGAATATAAATTTGAAAAATAAACATCTCTCTTTCTTTTTAATTACTTGAACGATAAGGTCAAAATTAGCAGATGACTTGGAATGACAATCCTTGATTCACCACAAACAAAGAAGATTTTTTCCTTATTGAGCAGAAAATGATTTGGGGAAGGGGGACAGCCATAGCAAAACATTGTGAGAATATGCGTGTCCAGGTTATTCCCAGTCTGGGTAATTTGCAAGGTGTTCCTGTTAATGAGCAATGAGGCAAGGAACCTTAAGAAACAGTTACATCTTGTGAAATATAAAGTTTTTATATCCTTAAGGAACATGGCAAACGGCAGATGAGGGGATGGGCGGTGCCAATGGACAAGGGAAGGAAGCCCAGGAAGGCAGCAGGAGAAAGTGCACATGCGCTTTGCAGGGGTCGTTTCGTAGAAAAAG